TTAAGAATATGCAAACATTACAATGGTGATAGTAGCATTGCCTTTTAGTTAATTTTTATTCTCATACCTTTGAATACTTGTTACAATGCTCAGAAGAAAGAATCAATCCAGGTAAGTTACTGGGCAAGTCAAGACGTCTAAAGTACCACACCAGGTTCCAAAAAACAATTGGATGATGGTCCACAAAGTCTGCCACTGTTATAGCATGATCACCTTCATTTTCCAATAAACTTTCAAGTTCCTTCCATACCACTAAAGGACTAAGATATGGAACAGTGACAGGATCTGGACTTGGAAGGTGCCATTCTAATCCTAAAGGATCCTGTTGAACAAATAAAAACCATAAATGGCAAATGAAAGAATGATGATATTAAACCATTAAAAAAAATTCCTGTCAATGATTTCTGTATGAGTAGCAAAGTAAATATAATTGTCCCGTGGGATAACAGATTCTTCTTGGCAATGATAAAATTGAAGCTAATAAGGCTATTAAGGGCAAGGGGAACAAAATCATATATAAATGATCAATTTTCAAATTTAAAAAAGTACCAAAATACATACTGTAGCTCCTTGTAAAGTAGTGGGCAGGCTGCCTGTAGGAATGAGCTTCTGTCCTCCAGTATCTTCCTTATCCAAGTGGCCATAAGTACTAATACTCCTTGCCATTGGAAATATCGGACATTTTGACATAGCTGTTTTTGATCTATTAGCAGGGATCTGAATACTTTGGGCACAGGAATTTTCCTGTAGTTTAGATTTGCTTGGGCATTGAAAAAAGAAAAAAAGCATATGAGTGTCTAGATTTACTTGATTTCATCTAGAAGAACCAAGCTCTCTATAGAATCAGAGCTCAACATAGCAAAATAAATCGAAGGAAATATGTTACTCGGCCTTCAGCTGGGGAATAGGATATATTATTAAGTAGTGTAGTCATGCTAAATTTTCACCAAGTGAACTTTAAATATTCAAGGTTCATTCATTTATTCAAAACACTTAGTGGGCAACTTTTACACAGCAGGAAGCATACAAGGCCCTGGAGATACAAAGCAGAGAAACTAGGCACATATTCCTTCAGGAATCACAAGCTAGTAGGAGTCAGTCAAAGGTAAGGGCTACAATTGACATACGATGAAAGAAGATACATACACAGATTTTTGGTTTTACTGCCTATGTATTCAAGATCAAACAGGTCATGTTAGCCTGCCTATACTATATATGCTTTTTTTTTTTTTTTTGGCACACGTAGCTATCAATATGGCTTCATATGTCCATATATATATACATATGTGTGTGTGTGTGTGTGTGTATATATAAAACACTTATTTGGCACTTCTGCAAAATGGAGTCGACTTCTGTATTTGTTTTAAGTGTAGATTTATTTATATTTTGCTTACTATGTAAGTCTTAGTTTAATTTTACAGTATGTATATCAGCTCTAAAAGTTTTCTTAGATTATTAAATATTTCTAAGTAGAAAATTAAATATTTCAAAGTAGAAGTTAGTACTGACTTAATTCCTGAAGAGATAAAGATAATAAAAAGATGGTCAATATAAACTTCAAGTGTTCTACAGATTTTTTACCTTTAAAATATTAGTAAACTATATAAATACATATGGCTTAAATTCTGTAGATTCATAAGGCATAACAAAACTTTATATTTCAACATTTAGGTTACTGGAGGATTTTAATACTGCTTAAATTAGGAGCAAGAATTTAAGATTATGAATCTATTATTCATAGAAATTTAAACCTTGAAATGGTCAGTTAATTGTTCTGTCATACATCAAAAATATGTGTAGTATATGTTGTTAAAATATGGTTCCGCATAATCGCAATTACCTATTTAGATCAAAACTCCCTCGAACAGAGAGAGTAGATGTGTCCAGACCAGAGGCTGATGTTGAAATGCAAGACCGCCTTGTCTGACTTGAAAAGGAGGAGGGAAAGTGCATATTTTCCAACGAAGGGCTTGACTTCAAAAAGTATCTATAATGTGAATCAAAGTAGCTTTCTGAGAAAAGAGATATTCTAGAAAACATAATCTTTAAACAAGAAGGGGGAAAAAGCATATATCATTACCTTCCAGGTCGTCTTAAATCTCTTATTTCGATATTCAGAAATGGTAAGAAAAGATTGCCACAGAATGGGCATGTAGTATTGAGATTTGAATCATCTGCTGTCCAGCCAGCCATGATTTCCTCATCATGGACAAGACAATCACAAGTTCTACACCGAGAGCAACTTGAGATGAGAACCTATGACAGAAGACAGCACTTTATAAAGCAAGCTGGGTAATGCATACTAAGAATTAAAAACCATTTTAATTCATAAATCTACTGGAAAAATAAAATTCAGGAGGATTCAGACATTATAAACAAAAAAATGGATTACATTCAAGGGCTGGCCCGTGGCTCACTCAGGAGAGTGTGGTGCTGATAACACCAAGGCCACGGGTTTGGATCCTATATAGGGATGGCCAGTTAGCTCACTGGCTGAGCGTGGTGCTGACAACACCAAGCCAAGGGGTAAGATCCCCTTACTGGTAGTCTTTAAAAAAAAAAAAAAAGAAAAAAAAGGATTACATTCAGGGCCTTATATGCTATATACACTGCTAACTATTTCAGCTAAATCTATTCCAAAACTTTTGCCTGAAAGAGAAACTTGCATTTAAGTAAGCATTTTTCCTCCACTATAATTACTATAAAATTTGCTGTGATTTTATTAATGGAAAAGTAAACTCATACACAAAACAGGTATTTGTAATTACATATTATAGATCAGTGCTACTCAAGGTGTTGTCACCAGACCAGTGCTATGATTTTATTAATGGAAAAGTAAACTCATACACAAAACAGGTATTTGTAATTACATATTATATATCAGTGCTACTCAAGGTGTTGTCACCAGACCAGTGCTGGTCCAGAAATACTTACTGATTTGTGATAAGCAAAGAAATTGAGAAGAGGACTTAGAAACCCTTAAAGTGATTTTACACTGCTGTAACATCTAAGCATGTAATCAATGTATTTTACAATAGTATCAGATTAAATAGTATGACAGATTAAAAATTAAACAAACAAAAACATTCCTGGTTTGTCACTATAGACAGTTTAAGAAGCATTGCTGTAGATAAATGTAAATGCTGTTATTACATTAATAAAACACAGAAATTCCTGAAGCCACCAAAACTCTGTAAACTGCAACATTAGTACTTATAACTTATTTTTCAGCCGTATGCAAATTTGTTTCCCAAATTTATGCAAATTAGTGTGAAATAGCAACCACACTCACAAATGTATTTGGAAGTGAACTTTACAGAAAAATTAGGCAAAAATTTTAAAGTGTAAAAGTATAACTTTTTCACTGTAAGAAAATGGGATATAGGAGCACATTCGGCAGAGATCTACACCAAACCGACACAAAGAATGAAAAACATGATGGAAGAAACTGATAACATAATGCCAAAACTACTTCTGGTACCCTCACTAAAAAGGTTTGCTTGCATAGCAAAACAGATTTTAAGTGTTTATGATATGAAAAAAACATTCAGAGAACATACATATAACAAGGAATAAATACAATGAAAATGAAAACGTTTTTGTATGTTGATAAATCTCAAAGTAAGCATAATTGTTCTACTAAAGTAGTATGACTTTAATAATCTCAAATACTGAATTATCTGAATAACTTTATTCAGATGTGATAAACATTCTGAAATTTCAGATACTATATATCTAACTTTTATTACTCTACCTGAGATCATCAATATTTAAGAAATGTAAATTTTATAAAGCAGTACATGAAGATGCTCTTTTGAATAAAATTGTACCTCCATTGCATAGTTCTGGAAGATATTTGTATTACTTGTGTTGAAGGAAGATGTCACTTCTGATTTTCCAGGTAAGGCAAACTTTGACAGGGATCCTGTTCATTATTTAAAAACAAAGAGCAAAACCATTAAAATTAATAAGAAAGGATATAATAATCTTTCACTTCCATAAATTCTCTCATAAAATATCAAACTGTTCTATTCAAAATACTAAAGGTAATTTGGAAAAAATGATAAAAAAATTTTTTTCCAATGCATGCATTTTTGTTTTGAGTACAAATCTAAGGAGATGTGCTCTAATTCTACTGGTCCCCACATGCTAGGTGTGTTCATTCACTACTCACTTATTAAGCACCTTGTGTATACAGGCTAGAAAGCATTCCAGTCATTTGTAATTACTACTGTGCTGTTTCTATTTTTTCATGTTTAAAAATAGGAAAGTGTTTAGTTTTAAGGTCTAAAAAGTGTAAGATAGCCAATCTTATTTCAAATTATGAAAAGATTGAGTGGCAATTCTGTCTTACAAAGATCTTAAAATACAGTAAGCTCGCTCTTAAACACTAGGGAAGAGTTCCCAAGTCTATTCTTAAGAGCAGTGGGATATTAGTATTAAAATAACAACAGCAATAACAACTAAGAAGTAAAAGTAAGGTGAGTTCTGTGATCAAATCAGTTGTTGACAGTGGATGTATCTTGTTAATAAAACTAGAGGTGATCTATACCTCTCTATACATTTTTTTCCTGTCATTACTAAATTTAATGAATGAGCACTAGTATAACTGTAAAGTGAGACTAAAAAAGTAATGCCCCATACCCACTAGCCTCCAGAAAAAAAAAAAAAAATTAATGGTGCCTGATATAATCATTGTACACAGTATGAATGTACCCAAATATCATATTGTACTCCATAAATTATACAATTATCATGGATCAATTAAGAAAAATAAAAGTCAGGAAAAAAAGAGAGAAAGAATCGTGGCTACCAGAGGCAGGGAAAGGGAGGAGGGAAGGCTTTCCAGGAAAGGTTGGTAGACTGGACCAAAGTTACAAAGTTACAGTTAGATAGGAAGAATAAGGTCTGGTGCCCTGAGGTGACAATGGCTTACAATATTATACATATCAAGATAGCCAGAAAAGAGGATTTTGAATGTTATAACCACGAAGAAATGATAAACGTTTAGGTTATAGATATGCTAATTATTCTGATTAGATCATTGTGCAATATATGCATGTATTGAAACAACAAACTGTACCCCATAAACATGTACAATGAAAAAAAAAAAGTAATGATGTAAACTATCAGTTTACAAGAAATAGAGGGAAGAGGAAAACATGTTAAACATTACAACAGGGATGCAATCAGCATAATCCAGACTAATGACCTGCTTCAGCAAATAAATGACAAGGGAAAAAAAGATCACTCTAGAGCTACCACTGGCTCTAGCCCCTGCCACACAAAGACATCTCAGAGAGGCAAAGAGACAGCTGAAGCCTCACACCATCCTTTAAGATGCTTAGAGCTGGTGATAAATGCAGTTCTTCTCTTCATGCTTCCCCCAATAACCTTCTGTAATCCTTCTCAGCTACAGCTAGTTCAAAACCACTTTCTAATACCTTCTATTAGCCTTGACTAACACAATTATTTATGGGGGCAGCCTACCTTTGTATCTGATTAATCTGCTGTACAGAATAAATATTCATTTTAATAAATATAAATTAGGTTGTAAGTTAGATTTTATTAGCACAACAAACTGTTTTTGTATGTTAAAAAAAAGGAGGGAGGGGAGCTAATCAACTGATTTCTTCATAAATATATGACAAGGGGAAAAAAGAGAGAGGATGGGGAACAAAGATGAGAGTTAACAGAAATATCAACCAAATCCAACATGTGGACCTTGTATGGATACCAATTCGAACAAACCACCCATAAAAATGAGCTCTATGGGCCGACCCCGTGGCTCACTTGGGAGACTGCGGCTCTGGGAGCGCAGTGGCGTTCAGATCCTAATAGGGATGGCTGGTGCGCTCACTAGCTGAGCCCGGTGAGGGCGACACCAAGCCAAGGGTTGCGATCCCCTTGCTGGTCATCTTTAAAACAAAACAGAAAAAAAGCAATGACAGCCAAGCTGGGGCCACTGGAGCTCAGGGGAAAAGGAGACCTACAGAGTGCATGAACGTGGGAGAAGCCACGATGAGAGAAAAAAAAAAAAAAAAAAAACGCTCCAACCATTTCGAATCCTGGCTGCTTCCAGGCTGGAGCTGCTGAGTGCACGGAGCAGGAACTGGCAAAAGCCACAGCTGTGCCCTTCAGAT